AAATGATAGCTCTCTATCAAACATTTATACATTACCATATTAACATAAAACCTGATTATAAGTAATATATCAAGTAATACACACACACATATCAAGCAAATATATATGTATACATATTTAGTTTTTTGTTTGTTTTTCAAGACAGGGTTTCTCTGTGCAGACCTGGTGTCCTGGAAAGTAGCTCTATAGACATGGCTGGCCTTAAACTCACAGAGGTCCACCTAAAGCTGTGTGCTACCATTACCTGACTAAAAGTCTTCATGTTTTAAAAATTCAAATTATGATAATTTTACTGTAAATAACTCAATTATTTTTCTTTTAGTATAACTTGAATCCTGTGGGATCTAAAATTAGGGGAAAAATACAAGACATACCTAACAAGGTAAAAACACTGACCCTGCTTCAGTGCGGTGTGAGTGTATATCAGATACGAAATGATGTATCTGTAGAGAAGAAACAACCTAACAGGCAAAGTACCTGGTTCTTCCCCGCGTGCCCTCTGATTTTGAACAATTTCCAGAAGCTGCTGGGCTGCCTGGTTCACACTCATGTATCGAGGAGGTTCATAGATCTTTCTTCCCCTGTAAACATAGAACTAGACATCATTGTTCTTTCCTGTGAAATCAACTGTGGCATTTGATGTAGCTCCTCCCCCAATACACTCTCAGGTTTTCACATGATACCCTCTTCTGTATAAATCAAGGATGGGTCCAGTGATTTATACATTTCTTAAGCTTTTTTTTTTCTATTGTCCTACTTTGGCTGTCCTCAATGACACTGAAATGATGGCAAGATTAACATTCTAATAAAGTTACATGTCTAAATCAAAGTTATGTTTATTACAAGTGCTGCCTTAGGCAGATGTAATTCAAACTGTGTCATTAGGGTCTATACTCTGGGTGAACCATCATTTGTTTTTGTTTATATTTTCATGGTGCTGGGGATTGAACTCAAGGCCTAGTGCATGCTAGCCATTTTTTTTTTTTATTAATATGTTCCTGTATCTTTTTTACTTCTTCCTCTAAGAAAACTGTCAAGATCTGAATATGTTTATTTTTGCATGCCTCAAAAGCCTGGCAAGTTTACCTAATGATCATAACAGAAAGATATGCTCCTGAAATTTGCAGTCTGAACTGATCATTTATTATCTACAGTTCTCCAAGTCAATACTACCCAGCAGAAGCACAGCTCAGTATAATCTCAAACAGTCCAGACACTACAGCAACAAGTTCAGCAGGCAAAATTAGTTTTAATAGCATGTAAATATATATTTAATCCAATATCCAATTTAATCCAATACTAATTCACAAGTATTACACATTGTTTTTATATCAAGTCTTTGAAGTCTGATAAGCACTTTCAGCCCATTTGTTAAGTTTTAATCAGAAAAATTTAATATGTATATTAAATTTAAATGTATATTCATAAAAATAGATTTATAAGGATAAGTTGGAAGGAGGGCATAACTATATTGTAAACATGTATGAAATTCTCAATGAATAAAAATGTTAAAAAATATTTACATATTAAAGTTGTCTTAAACAACCTAGAGGTTTTATAATTATTAGTTTAAAGTTAAATCAAACTTTAGTTCTTCAGTTTCATCAGCCACATTTCAAGTGCTCACTACCATGTGTGGTGGGAGCTGCTGTACTGCACACTGCCTCACTCAAAGAGGATCCAGCCCTCACACACGGGAGAAGTGATACCCCACACTCCTACACCACCTACTGGTCTTCACACATGGGAGAAGCCACACACACCCCACATACAATAGGGGAAGTGTCCCCAAAGCAGCAGCAGCCAAGGGGCCGATGTCAGACGTAAGCCCAACGTTTTGAACTCCCAACACATTCATTCACCCACCCACATTTACAGGGCGACCATCACTGCTCTCAGTGTTGGATCTACGAATTCTACTGCTACCTTCACCCGATCACCTAGCTCTATCTTTTGTACGAATCAAATATTTACTGTGTGACTATTCTGCAAACTCATTTTCATCCATGTTTAGACTTGGCTCATTGAAGCACTCATGGGCTTTGTCATGGAATTGAAATAGGAGGTTCACCCTCAGCACGGACGCACCTGATGAGGTTCTCCAGAGACTGCTCCTTGACTTTGATATCTGTAGGGAGTAAAGGACAGCTCTGTTAATCTAGTCATTCTACCCCAAACCCTTCAGCTTCCATTGAGGATCATGGACGTTTTTGGACATCTTCCCAGAGCCCCCTAAATGCTGATCTGAGCTTGAGGTGTCTCTGCTCACACTTGTGTATGACTACTTTCCTACGAGGTTAGAGAGGAGTGAAGCCTGTGGCTGTGGAAAGGCCCCTCACGCTAGAAAGCAAACTGGAGTCTGGCCCTGACATTCCTCTGCAGGGGTCTAGTTTCCTGTTGGAAAAGATGACTGATAAGGGAAAGCATTAGATGATTCTGGCATGTGCACTACTTAACTAATCAGAGTCTCTTTAGTTCTTCTACCCAGTAATTGCATAGACTCATCTAAAATGTCTGCTTGTACTCCTATAATTATTTATTTTTCAGGCATCAGACTATAAAAACCTCAAAGGATATAGCCTAAGTTAAAAAAAAAAATTCTTTTTGTTTTTCAAGACAGAGTTTCTCTGTGTGTAGTCCTGGCTGTCCTATCTGTAGAGCAGGCTGGCCTTGAACTGACAGAGATCTGCTTACCTCTGCCTCTCAAGTGCTGGGATTAAAGGCATGTGCCACCACTGCCCAAAAAGATTCTTACTGTATTTTGAAAAGTGTTTGCTTTCTTACAGTGGTATTTTGAAATGTGTCTGCTTTCTTACAGTGGTAAGACATAATATACCAATGAATAAATACTGTAGTGACAGGCCTTCAGAGCTCTATGCCAGATGCTGGGCACTGCAGGGAGCAGCATACAATGTCTGTGCTCCTGAAGTCTGACAGGCCTCCATGGCAAAGACAGGCATACAATGTCTGAGCTCCTGAAGTCTGACAGGGCACCATGGCAAAGACAGGCATACAATGTCTGCACTCCTAAAGTCTGACAGTGCACCATGGCAAAGACGGGCATACAATGTCTGTGCTCCTGAAGTCTGACAGGGCACCATGGCAAAGACTTGGTCCTTCGCATTTCACTGCCACTGATGCTTAGCTGAACTGCTTGGGAAATGGTGAAAAGCCAGACTGGCTGTGTCCTTACAGGAACTTCACACAAGGGCAACAGCTGCTTCCTGATTTACAGGCAAAATGAATGGTTCTGCCAAAGTTTGTTTTTGTAAAAATATGGTACAACTAAAGATTCTCTGACAGACTTCCACAACTCTGTAAAGTGATAGTAAAAGCTTCACTTATTGAGAAATACTAAAAAGTTTACTTAGAAATTATAACAATGATTAATCTTTTATCTGGTTTTCAATGTCTGTGGCACTTAATATTTAAGTATTTCTCAAATTTGAAATAGCTTAATAGTTCTAGTTGTCTGACACATACAAAAATGAATGTTATTGAAACTATGCCCTCCAATACAATTAGCAATAGAAGTCATGTTTTACTTTAAACAATGTCTTGAATACTTAAGGTAACACTTCCATTAATTCATTGTAAAATGCAACATGTCTACTGTAAAACATGTCTATAAAACATGTGGACATGGCTTCCCTACAACCTACTCCAGCCCATCAGGAACTAAGTTTAAGCAATAAGCTCCAATTATTTCATACAGCCTTTGTTTTCTATTCTAATGCTTTGTACTTAGAAATATCTATGCAACTAATGTTCTGTTACTAACCTCTGACTATATCACATATATTAATTGGTGTCTCTAAATAAGTTATAAATTGTCTGCAGTTTACTACCATGCTTTTTGGTCTCTAATCTTCAAAGGGGATGACCCATAGTAGGCATTCAACAACTACATACTAATTTAAATGAGATCAATGATTTGAGAATTTGGAAGCCTAACACCATACACTCCACACATAAATAAATAAATAAGACAAACAACAACACACACACACACACACACACACACACACACACACACACTCCATCTGTGCAGCAGGGATAAACACTGGCTCCACTGTTAGAGGTCCCGTTGACTGTGCAGGCCTCGCAGCTGGCATCCACATTCTGAGGGCCTGGCTCGGTCCAATGCTGGTTCTCCAGCTATACGACTAGGGTCTCTGTGCTCTCACTAGGTCTGGCCAACTGTTTCCATGGGTTTCCCCTGCACGGTCCTGGCTCCTTTGCTCATCCCTCCTCCCTCCCTACAACTGGATTCCAGGAGTATGGCTCAGTGTTTAGCTGTGGGTGCCTGCTTCTGCTTCGATCAGCCACTGGATGGAAGCTCTAGGATGGGAACCAAGGTAGACATAAATCTCATTATAGGGGAAGGGCATCAAAGGCAGCCTCTCCACTACTGCTAGATTACTAGTTGGGATTATCTCTGTGGATCCCTGAACATTTCCCTAGTGCCAGGCCTCTCTCTCCAAACCTGTACTGTCTCCCTCTCTCAAGGCATCTCCTTTCTTGCCCTCCTCTATTCCTCCCCTGTCTCAATCTTCCTGATCCCTATTGTTTCTCTTCAGATTGTATAAATCTTTCACCTTTTACATGAGTCCATTCTTATCCAACCACCACCATAACAAAAACAAGCAAAAAATATCAACCTTTGATTTGGGGGTTGGTGAAATGGCAAATAAACACGCTTGCTGCTTACATGGATGACTTGAGTTTGTTCCACAGGACCTCACAGTGTAAAGAGAGAACCAATTCCCACAAGTTTTCCTCTGACTTCCACATATGTGCTCTGGCATGCACTTACGTATGCATATATACACAAACACATACAAAATAATAATAAAGAAAATCACCATAACTAGTTTGAGAAGCACTACTCTCAACAACCCCATGGGGCAGGGTATGAAGACAAAGGCTAAGAGTTGCTTCTCAAGTGTTTCTAGCTGTTATGCACAGACACTGAGATTCTGTCTTCTGGTTCCAACTCTAGGTGTCATTTCATAAGATGTCAGCTGTGTTCTGGTCATCAAGGGGAAAGTGAAAATTGGATTCCAGTATTCCTTTCTATAATGCTTAAAGTTAGAAGAGGCTACTAGACATGTGACTTGTTAAATCTCCGGGTCTTTGCAGGAAGGCAAAGCCCAAATCCATCTGAAACACGGTACTATTATCTTGTTGCACAAAGCTCTTTGTATGTTAAACAGGAAATAAAAGTTTGGGCAGGCTAGCACAAAGAGGAGGCTAGGAATAATCGGTCATTTGTATTTTATTCTGTTAACAATTAGGTGAATGGTACTGGGAAATTACTCAATATTCAACGTCATCTGCAAAACATATTTTAACATAATGATCTTTGGAGGATCTTTCAGAAGTACCATTTTGTGATTTTGACAGAAAATATCCTAGAAGATGCAGAATGGTTGGTGATGATAATAAATGCTCACTACATGTCTGCTGAGCTGTAATAATGATGACAAGTTTGTAAATACAGAATCTTGGAAAAGATCTATAGGTTCTAAGAGGGAACAGCAAGTCTCAACATAAACACAGGATTTATCTGGTATTTGAAGCTGAGAATGGGAAAGAGCGCTGTGTGCAAACAGTGGCTAGCCTGTGACCTTTTGTTTTATTTTGTTTCCTTTCTCTATCTAGTTATTCACAGAACAGTTTTAATTCTATTATAAAATGAAAATAAAAGAAGTCTGACAATTGTACTGTGTGGGAATAAAGGAGCTTCCTGCTGCTTACCAAGTAAACACAATGTGTGCATGCCATTTTGTCTGTTCTTCTTCACTTTGTCAAAGAAGCTTTCTGGTCTCCAAGTGTCCGTCCAAAACACAATAGAAACAGTTTCTCCAAACTTGTACAACTAGAAACACAAAACATTACTTAATGATACAACAATCACTATTATTTCATAGGTCAAGAACCCTAAAATAGGGCTGAACATAAGGCCCAGGCTGAGAGAAAGCTCAGTGGTTAAGAGCAAGTCTACACTTGGTAAGCACCGAAGTCTGTGCAGCTCATAACCACCTCTAACTCCAGCTCCAGGAAGATCTGACCCCTTGGGTCTCCATGGCAACTGACTCACATGAACATACCACCCCCATAGACAAAATTAGAAACTTAAAAAAAAAATCAATCTTAAGGAAAAAAACTCACAGGAATAAAAATAGCTTTCAGCACTCTCAATAGGTGTCAAAACTTTAATATTCTGCTTCACTGATAAGACTACCAAGCCTTAGAAAGATCAGTTGAATAAATAAATACATACATACACAAACTTAGGTCTGAGGGAATGTTCTTATCCATCATCTTAGTTCAACAAAAATTCACAAACAGCGTACTCCCTCTTGCTACTCATCACAACCTATACCCTTCCAATTTAAGAAGAATGTCTCTGTCTTTGGGCCAAAGTCAGCCAATAAGAATTTTTCCCCAAATCTCCGTCTCACCCAGGTGGTCCACCTCATTTCCTTGTCACTACAAGGAAGAAGCTTGACTTTTAAACTGACCTAGCTGTACTAGGCCAACATAGCCCTGTTCTAGAGTTTATGTAAGGAACAGTCGAGTTTTGGACGTTGGCTGAAACCTGCTAGCTGTGCAGGAAAGTTGTCAATACATCTATTCTGTTCCCTTCTGTGGGGACCAAGTGGCATGTAAAAATTATTTACATGCTGAAGTTACATGCTAATATTGTAATAGTTTTTGTACAGGTACTGTACAAAAGAGATCTGTTTCCTAAAACACAGTATAGTAAAACACAATGCTAATGTTATATAATGATTTAATTCTTCAAGTTAAACAGTTTGATACAAATTGTAAGAAACCAGGAACATATAGACACTGAAAAGCCACATCTAGTAATGTTTCACAGATTAGAGAATCATTTTACTTTCAGTGAAAAATGAGGAGACAGGCTTCAAGTAGGCACTGGGGATGCTGTTTCCTGTAGTGAAGCTTCCATCCTTCTCGCTTCCGTTTCAGAAGCTGTGGCAAGAGGTGCCAGGAAGCAGACAGGAAGGAAATGAGAAAAGGTGGGGCACTCAGGGCATTTCTCCCTACTTCTCTAGAGCAGCTAATACTTCTCAGGCTTTGTATACCAAGGTCTTAAAACCTTAAACGGTCACAGAACCTCTGAGCCCTAAAAGGATGATTCATCATATCCCATAGGCTCCAATTTACCTATCAAGGAGCTTTATTCTCAAAGCCCATTTGACAGTTACCTGAACAAAGCATCCTCAGAGAGAAATGCTACTATGTAGCAACTGTTCACAAGACAGTGTACAAAGACCATATTGCTCCAAGTATTCAGTCATGTATCTTCCTGCCATGTGTAACAAGATTTCTCTGTGAAAAATACAGTTTGCATTCTAGGATAGGATTCTTAGACCACATTCCCCAGGATCAACTTCATGGGAGAGGCCCTAACTCTGCAGAGGAGTTGTTACAGTTGCTGTCCTATGAGAAGCAAATTTACTAACCAATAATGAATGCCAATCACCTCCTCTGTGCCAGGCATTATTCTGGGCATAGGGTTAAGTGATAAGCAAATGGACCTCTCCCTGGCCCTGGTGAAAAAGCTGAGAGCTCACCCAGCTGACAAAGGCTCTGGACTCACAGCAGTGGTTCTGGTTCTGGTAAATAACCTCTGACCTGGACAAGAACATCCTGCATGGAGAATGTAGTGAGCAGTTTTAAGAAATGAATAACCAAGGGTATACTGAGGGCTGAGCCATGCCTCATACACTGTCAGGGCTCAATATTCGATGCAATGATGTGTATGACAATTATATGAAAACGTTCTAAACTGCTGTGTCCTGACAGGAACCAACTGCTCTCTTTATTGGCTATGTTCAAGCAGTACCAAATATGCAAAACTACTTACTAAGAGTAGTTTTACATTTAAAATGGGTAAGTTCAACTATACGTTTTTAAATGGGGTTTGTCACTTCCCATCAAACTTGAAACACATGTTATTTCATGAAAACTTTCATGGAAAACTATATTTCCATTTATGTATAAATATTTAAGAGGCTCTGCTATTTTAAGAAACATGGAAATAAAAATCATAGAAGCAAGGAAATTCTTCCTTCAAAGACAGAGTGATGAAGCTTTAAAAAGACAATTGAGGCCGGGTGGTGGTAGCACATGCCTTTAATCCCAGCACTCGGGAGGCAGAGGCAGGTGGATCTCTGTGAGTTCGAGACCAGCCTGGTCTACAAGAGCTAGTTCCAGGACAGCCTCCAAAGCCACAGGGAAACCCTGTCTCGAAAAAACCAAAAAAAAAAAAAAAAGACAATTGAGATGCTAGTCACATCTAAGCTAACAGAAGTGTTCTGTGTGAAAGACTGTGAACTGCCCAACTGGGAGACTGAAGAAAACCTCACACAGGCACTGCCCTCTAGGACCCTGATTTATAACTGCAGCCACTCCTGTGGCAAGGGTGCAAACTTCTTCAATGAATGCTGAAACATTATGCAAACAGTGTCACCACTGAGATGTCAGTATCTCAAAGAACAGAAGGACCAGCAATCTGCATTTCACAACCAAAGGACTTACCATCACCAGTAAATTGTAAAAAGAAACTGGAGCAAATCTCAGTGACAAGAACTGAGGTTGCAGAAGCCTAAACACTGGGCTGTCTTACAACTCTGGCCTGTGAGTACGAGCATTCTTCCTGACAATATCCAAATCTGACATTGTTAGCGCTTCAAACCTAAGTTTGAAAACTACAAAAGCAGCTGTTTCCTCAGAAATCCTAGGAGAAACCCAGATCTGTTCTACTTTCATCTGGAATAATTTAGAGAGAAAGCAGGCCATCTAACTCGGTACTGGATTGTATCTTACTAAAAAAAAAAACGAAGAAAAGCAAAAACCTTCCACTGAAAACCATCCACAAGTCATTTTTTAAGGTACTATTGAGACAAAGGGAGAAGATGCACAAGAAAGAGACACAGTAGGCATTGAACAGTTCTTGTCGATATGACTTACGGACCCCACCTATTCTGAGAGTTCAGCCCTTTCTACACTCAGAGTAAAAGCACCTGAAAGTGTCTTCTGAAAGATAAGACTACAAGCTGGAATTAAAGAGATGGTAAAAGATTTTAGTTTGCTGAGAGAAAAAGTTCTGAAAGATTTTAGTTCACAGAGAGAAAAAGTTTCCCACAGGCCTTGGCCCAGGACAAGGAAGTTGGCCCCAACCCGAGGGCAGACAAACAATCCTTTTTGGGTCACCCCTGGCTGCCCAACAGACAATCAAGGACTTTTCAGGGTACGTTCTATTGTTTTTCCTTTATAAAAAAGGTCACACCTGGGTGACCACTCTAACATGAGATCATACTTTGTAATCAATCACTTTGTGCCCCTTGCCTGTATGCTGATCTGTGGTTTTTTCCTATGTAAGGAGCTTGCACCCCATGCCGGGGTGTGCAGCTTTCCCAATATTGCTGACACCCGAATGTGTATTCATTCAATAAACCCTCTTGCTTTTGCAGCTCTTGGTCTGGTTTCTGAGTCTCATCGGTTCCTTGGGATCCTGAGGCCCTTAGGGGTCTGGGGGTCTTTCAATGGAAAGGACGAAGGTGCAGGAGTGAGCTTGGAAAGATGAGAGCGATGAACTACATAAAGGATGGCATGAGACAATTATGAGAAAGAGCAAGTATTTGTCTCTGTACCTCACATTTCCAGCATCTTACCAAGCACCTATTCCTATCAACTCGAGAGGCAGAACTCCGAAACTAACCACTCAATTATGTCCCTACTGCTTTGCTTGGAGCCCTTGATGCCACTTATCTGAGTGACCCCAACAATCGCCCAAGTCATCTCACTGCCACCAACATTTCCTTCCTTTCACAAGTACAGACACAACATTTTTACATTTATCACTTACTCAGTGTTTATGTATACACATGCACACATGCATGTGGTTTGGCATGCAAAAGACAACCTGTGGAAGTTGGTTCTTTAGAGATCCAGGGCATTGAACTGAGGTCATGAGGATTCATAGCAAGCACTTTTACCCCTGGAACCATCTTGTCAGCCCAGTACGGGTACTCTGTGAAACTTGATTCTAGCTGGGCAGTGGTGGAACAGGCCTTTAATTTCAGCAGCTGAGAGGCAGAGTCAGGCAGATCTCTGTGAGTTCTAGGCTAGCCTGATCTACAGAGTGAGTTCCAGGACAAACAAACAAACAAACAAACGCCTATGTTCTCATATATAATTGGGAATCCATTTACGAAATAAAAAATGAATTATATTTTTAAAGCATGTTACTTCAAAGGCAATATCCAATTTGGAAGGGAGAAGAAAAACAAGCAATTTAACTCAGAAAATATTTATTGCAAATAGATTATTTTTATGATACTGTGGTAAATATAATAGAAGGCATAAAGATGAGTAAACTAAAGAACTAACAGTAAAAATATGAACACAAATATTCTGTATAGGAGAGGCATTTACCGAGCTGTCTGACTAGAAGAATGGCACAGTGAGGCCCACAATTTAGAAAGAAACCATTGAAAGGGAAGGATGATGAATCAGTGCTATAAAATAATGTGATGGTACACATGGAACGCCAGCACCTGGGAGACTTGAGAAGAGAGACAGATGGCAAGTTCAAAGTCAGCCTGGGCTATATAATTAGGCCATGTCTTAGAAAATTAAAACAAGGGCCAGCAATACGGCTCAGAGGGCAAAGACATCTGCCTCCAAGTTTAGTGACTGGGCTTTGTCCCCTGAGAAGCACATGGTAAAAGGAGAGAAACTACTGTACAAACTGTCCTATGTCCTATATGCATTTGCTGTGGCATACATGCACCACCACCCCCTCAACACACACAAATTAAAAAAAAAAAATTAAGACACTGAAGGACAATCAAAATAAATAAAAATTAGAGCTGGGTGTTGGTGGCACACACCTTTAATCCTAGCACTCGGAGGCAGAGGCCAGTCTGGCCTACAGATCTAGTTCCAGGACAGCTAGAACTGTTAGACAGAGAAACCCTGTCCTGAAAAACCATTAAAGAAAAAAAGAAGAAGAAGAGCAACAACACATGACAACACTCATGGTCATTTAAGCAACAGTAGAGAAAGTGGAAGTATTTCATAAGGATGAGAAAATTATACAATTATCCACAAGCTCCTTAAAGAAAAGTTATGACTGCACCCACAGTTACCAAGCAAGCATTAAGTAGATATACAATATTTATGGAATGAATGAAGCATGTCTGTCTTAAAGATGTCTAACTCGAAAGCCTCTAATAAACTTTATGTTTCAACTGGAGATTTTCACTAAGGATGAGGCTTACGGTACAGAATCCTATGACCTACCTCTATCAAACTGTGTATGGCCGGTTATGTGTTTGTATACATACATAGATATGTTAAGTTCTACAGCTCCTTGCCATCAGTAACACTGATCCACAGGAACTGGCTATTGATAAATGACAAAGTTAAGGAGACTACTGACTGCTTAATTCTGAACTGTCCTTGCAAGCTCTTTAGAGAACAGAAACAGACCAGCTTCAGAAAGTGACAAACTGAGTGTAAAACAACGGTGCCCACTCTTAGACATTTGCAGCTGCTATGCTTAGAGGCAAAGATGACCGAAGGCATGTTTTGCCCAGGTCTTCGACCGCACTCAAAGCAGGCCTGTTTCAACATCTTATTACATGTTTCTGAAATCATGACAAAACATTCCGAGAGGACAGGACACCTTCCAAAAATGAAGTCTACTTCCCTTTAAAATTTAAGTAAGAGAACATGAGGCGGAGCCTACTAACATCCTCCATCTGGCAGGGGTATTTCTGGTAATTAACATCTGCTCTTTCAGTCCTGACAAGTTACAGGAGACAATGAAGTATGTTCATTTTCTAAGATTATTACTTGCTTGTGTTGATGGTTCTGAAGGCATAACCTCGTACCTACAGCTGCTGTAGTACTGATTGCTTGTTAAAATGTAAATTCTCTTGGAACTCAACAGATGGCTCCAGAGTTAAGAGTGTGTACTGCTCTTCCAGAAGAAGTGAGTTCAGTTCCCAGCATCCAGTCAGGCAGTTCACAAGTACAGTTCACAGTTCCAGGGGATACAATGTCTTCTTCTGGCTTATGTGGCATCCATATGATCTCTCTCTCTCTGTCTCTCTGTCTCTCTCTCTGTCTCTCTGTCTCTCTCTCTGCCTCCCTCCCTCCCTCTCTCTCTCTCTCCCTCTCTCTCTCTCTCTTTCTCTCTCTCTCTCTCTCTCTCTCTCTCTCTCTCTCTCTGTGCCTCCCTCCCTCCTTCTCCCTCCCCCCCCTCTCTCTCTCTCTCACACACACACACACACACACACACACTAAAAATGGGGGGGAATATGATAGGGTTGGAGAAGAAGGGAGATGATGTATTTTAACTTAAAAACAGATAGGATAGGATAGAATAGATAGACAGACAGACAGATGTGAATACTCAGACCCCATACCAGAGCTACTAATCTCAGAAAGTTTCCTCTTAAGGCTCAGGACTCACAAGCCCTCTAGGTAGGTCTGATGAACAGTCTCTGACAGACAGTTGTTCAGGTTACAGTATCTTCCACAAATGGAGTCCAAATAGTAAAGAGAAAGTCCAAAAAGGAAAGGAATTCAACTGAAGATTTTGCATTATACATGGTATGTATGCATTTAATTAAAAGTATGCCATGTATTCATAGTTGTCCCTCCATATCTATGCTTCTAATTCAATGAATTTCACTAACCATGGAGCAAAAATATTTGGGGTCTTGGGAGGGACTGTTTCTGTTATTAATATGTACTACTTTTTCCTGTCCATCCCTAAACAATACAACACAACTATTTACATAGCACCTGCACTGCACTGGATATTTGAAGTACTCTAGAGATAAATGAAAGTACATGAGAGTCTATGTGCAGGTTGTACGCAAGTACTACACCATTTTATAGATGGAGCTTGAGCATCTGCAGATCTGATATCTTCAGGGGGTCTTAGAATTAATGCTCATGAAAAAGACAATTGCCATTTCTTAAATGCATTTTAAGTTAGAGAACTGTTTAAAAAAAAAAACAGACAAACAAAAAAAACACAACCCCTCTTCACCCTGGAATATGAATATTTTGGGTGGCACAGAGGACTTTGTCCATAGAAGCCATCATGGATCAGAGGTAAGAGCAAGGCACAATCCTGTTGTGCACAGACATTGTCATTTTATATACAGATTAGATAATAAAATGAAGATGGGGACACAGTAACAGCTGTCTAGAAAAAGTCCATATACAATCATGACAGCTAAATATTTTTAAAAATATATTAAACATAAATACAATCTCAGGGACATATATGGAAATTGTCAGTTCTCACAATGAATTCCTTCCCCAATAGAACTCTTCCATTTCAGACAGAGAACAATTGCCTCTTCAAACAATTCACAAGAATACAGGGCCAGCAAATTTAGTTCTTAGTCCATGCAACAGATACATTTGGAAGACAAGAATGCTTTTTAGTGCTTAAGAAAATAAGACAAAAACAATACTTCTGGGAAAACATGATAGAGAAAGGGCTGCTTTCTTCATAAGACCTAAAATTAAAACCAACGTAAAAATTTATGTTCCAGTTGGGCGGTGGTGGCACACGCCTTTAATCCCAGCACTCGGGAGGCAGACAAGACCTAAAATTAAAACCAACATAAAAAATTTATGTTCCAGTTGGGCGGTGGGCCTTTAATCCCAGCACTTGGGAGGCAGAGGCAGGCAGATCGCTGTCAGTTCAAGGCCAGCCTGATATACAGAGTAAGTTCCAGGACAGCCTCCAAAGCCACAGAGAAACCCTGTCTCGAACTCTCCCCCAACCAAAAAAAAAATCTGTTTCATTTTAATGTTTATATACCTTTCTTATCACATTATTTTATTTTATTTTTCTTTTCTTTTTCTTTCTGTCTTTTTTTTTTTTTTTTTTTAAGTAACCATTAAATCTTTTAAGGTATCACTGCCCAAAGGGAAGTTTGGGGGTTTTGTGTTATTTTTTTATTCTATCTCTGTTACCAACTTGGGAACATTTTTAGGAGCCATTTGTTCTACCTGAAGCATTAACATTTTAGAGTCCTGTGAACAGCTCTCACCCTGCTCCAATTCAGAAATGCTCTCAACTATAAAGACAAATCAGCGAGAATTGTTTTAAAGTGTACATCTTAGACAAAAGGGATGCAAGCAAAGCACCTAAGCCAATGCAAATAAAATAACTAAGAGTAAGGGAAAAGTACTGCAAAGTGACAATGTACACTTTTGCCTGACTCTACACAAACAAAAATTCATACTGAATGGCCAGGATTAGTTGATGAAACTAAGCTATTCTTCCTAAGTAACAAAGGGTTGGCTTTAACATATCTTTTCTTAAAATGTTTATTATTTATTTGAGAGGGGGCATGCATGCCACAGCATGTACATGTGGAGGTCAGATGATGACTTCCAGGAGCCAGCTGTCCTTCCACTACGTGGCTTCAAGAGTTCAAACTCAGGCTGTGAAGCTTGGAGGCAAGCACTTTTACACTTACTAACCTGGCTCATGGCACCAAATGTATCTTTTAAAAAATATCTACCCATAAGTGCTGGATTTCAGCAAGGTAGACCAGGGAAGACCGATTCTAAGGTGCATCTATTTTTCCTATTAAAATATAGAGACTTGGGATATGTCTTCATAAGCAGTGTCTTAAAAAGCACTGCTGCCCATGCAGGGATCACAGCTGCCAAGAACTATGCAAGTGTCAAGATCATAACATATATCACCCTTGGACAGTGGGTACCAATAGCTTAAGAGAACATCTTAGAAACATCAATAGGGCACTCTTTCAAGCTCTCTGAGCCACAACTGTTAGAGTAACGGACTTTACACACCAGCACTTGTAACATGGCCTTAATGCCTCATCACTGGCTTACAGCTCTGTATTCATTTAAAAAACACAGCATCACACACTCTCTGTGAAAGAGAAAGGATGCTGTGTGGGAAACTCAGGCTTGACTGCACTGATGAAGTCATTGGAAAAATATAAAGACCATTCAGAAATACTTAATGTAATTTGCTTATTCTTTCCTCTTTTAATATATGCATGAGATAATAAAAAGTTAAAATCATCTGTAACTAAATGTACATGGCCTGTTGAAAGAAAGGGTTACAAGAAAGGAAAAATAATAAATTATAGGAAAGCAGTAAAAAAAAAAAAAAGCATATATTTCAAGAGTACATTCTCACATATTTTGTTTTATGGATGCTATATGAAATAAAATGAACTTGTAGCTTGCAGGAAAACATATTATTTCAAGAGTACATTCTCAAAAATTAAGTTTTATGGATGCTATATGAAATAAAATGAACTTGTAGCTTGCAGGAAAATAGAACATTACCTGTAAACCACAGCAGCCTACAGCATTCATTATGGAGGCATTGTGAATAACTTGATAAGGGATTCCCAACTTGGTTGCTCTCAGAATAAGATCGCTGTGTGTTGTAGCCCTGTAGTTAGAAAACAGGTTCAGTTAAGTGAATGGCACTAATCTTCTATCCTAGCTCATGAATTCACATCAAAGAGTCAACTGTTCTTCCTCAAATTCTACTAGGCACCTGCACAGGGCTTTTATTTGGGCTTTTTAGGGATGCAGTGTACGTCTACCCACATCCCTCACAGGATGTCACTCCAACTACAACACTGACACTGATTGAAGAAAGAAACGTGCTGTGTCCTGCTATCTGCTAAAGACATTTCCAGAATATAAACTCAGTAATTTCATTCTTGTCTCGGGGCTTCTTTAAATAAGTTTTAAGAAAATTTAGCTAGCCATTATTAACGGCTAGCATTTCAATATGTACATCTATACATGAGTAATGATTAAAATGACTTTAGCACCTCAGACATTCATCATTTCCTTGTGTTCCAAATATTCAAGAGTCCTCTCTACTTCCTATTTACTTCAAAACACTCAGCTGTCACCAACCATAGTGCCTATGTTATAATCATTAGAATTACTCCTGTTTCAGCCTTCTCCCGGACCCAGTAACCATTTTCACTCTAGCCCCTTCCTCAGCACTCTCCCCAGCTCTGGTTAACAATTACCTAAGATCCAGTTTTGGACATTAAGGCTTTAGTTTTCACAGTAAGTGGGACACTTTAAATAATGAATTTTCTCCTTTACAGTTCTGTGGTACAACTAAACCAAATTCTTTATTTCTGCCCTATTTGGATTTGTTTTTATATTCTAAAACTGAAGGTGAAACACAGGACATAGCCTGCTGGTCCTTCAATCTATTAAAATTCTGCCCAAAAGAATTCTATTTGGAGTTTACATCTGTGTACAGTCTTTCTATTTATAGCTGTTTTCAGTCTTGCTACTTACTGTATATACTTTGTGTGTGGGGGGGGGGGTGCGTGTGTGTGTGTGTGTGGGTGTGTGTGTGTGTGTGTGTGTGTGTATGTCCCCATCCTATGCATGTTCTGACTATTAACTTCCCTTTTCTGAAAAGAGTGACAATAACTAGGTAGGCTGGGGAAGAAAAGAATATATGTAAATATAAATTGAATACTATGACATGTAATCTCACATCAATTTAGAATGCATTACTAAAGGTTCTTTTCATCTTGATAAAAATGCTAAGCCCTACTGGGGAAAGCAACATTAGCATGTTTGAGAAACTACTTACAAATAAGCAGAATCTGTCAACTGGTCAATGCATACCAAGTAGGAAGATCAAGGGCTTACACCCCATGAGGCAGCCAGCTACAGATTAAAACATGCCCACCAGGGAAGCCTGTTTTTAATCACACACATAAAATACAAGGAGTATGAAAAATTATCAGCAATTTGATTTAGAGTAAGTGTTTAAAAAAATAACAAGAGTGCTAAATATAAAGAATGTTTATAATACTACCTTCAACAGAACCTACCTAACATTTAACTTCAAGGAAAAGTAAATTAGTTATTTGATTAGGGTGTTATTTTTTAATTTAAATGGTTTATGGTTTACTTAAATAGATGAAAAGAAAACCAGGCTTAAAACTGTATTATTATCCCAAACTCATATGAAATAATCAGACCAAACAACATACACATAAGTTTACTATTTCCAAATCCATTCTATATTTTAACACACATTGCAACTAAATAAACATATACTAAATCTGTAATTTTTATTTTCAAGCCATGCAGATACACCTTTATTTGCCTGTCTTTTTTGTGTCCTAATGTGGGCCATTTGATGACTCCCATTCCTTGCAATACATTTGACTAGCATTTGGCACCAAATAACTGTTCAATATGTGCCGTCAATATTATTAGTCTGTTCTGTTCTCCAATACAAACAAAACTGTTGGTTTCTCCAACATGTATAAAGCTTGTTACACAGATGTATACTGACATACAGTTCCTTGTCTCTTCTTCTCTACATTTTGCACTATCTCTTTGTGATAGATTATCTCAAATAAGGTTTTAAGATCAAAGTAAAGATCTGTAAGTACAGACATTTTCTAGCATATAAAGCAACTTCCAAATGGGTTTTCAACCTACGATGCTACTAATAGCTCTTGAGGTTATACTTTCGCTGTGCACCTTGAAACAGCAAATGTCAGGCTGCCAGCCCCTCCTGCCCCGTCATGGCAGCACCAGCCCCGCTCCTCCTCTGTCAATGGCAACGCTGCTACAGTTGCCTTCATGACTTCCATCAGTCAAGCCATTTTGCATCTTTTCTCTTGAAATTGACTTTAAAAGAATTCCAGATAACAAGTGTGCTATTAAGGCAAAAATTCTTCACTATTTCTGGTTAGGCAACTCAGTTCCCACTCTATGTTGATCCTTGGGCTCAAAATCTGGGCAGCAGGCTTACACAGAAAACATCTATCCACCCACCCTCTTTGGGGGTCTTCTTTTTTTTTTTAAAAAAAAAAAAAAAAAAAAAAAAAA